GAGCAGGGGGCTGGACTAGAAGACCTCCAAGGTCTCTTCCAGCTCCATTCTGATTCTAGTTTATCTTCCTTTTTTACCTTTTTTTAATCTCTTGTTATTCAGCTATAATTTTATTCCCTATCTTCTTGTGTAAATATGTTGCATTTGTAAAATATGCAGCAAAAATCAATCGGATAAAATGGGAGACGAGTATGAAAGAAATGTTCTGTATTAAAAAAAAAGTTTTGGTACTTACAAACATGCTTTTAAAATGTTTTAAAATGTTAAAATATACTGACAAAACATTAAACATTTTATTGTTAAATTTCAATTTTTCCTAACTGTGTATCATTCAAATTCTAAATGTCAAGAGAATCAAGATCAATGTAAATGAAAAACATTGGATCATTCTTGTTGTGAATATTAAATTACTCTGCTCTGGAGGGTGTTTAGGCAAAATGCAGCCATTAAGCTCCTTCGCCTTTGTAGTGTTACTCATTCCTCATGTTTTGGGGGAATACATCCACACCAGTTTGCCAGAATGAGCTACAAAAAGAAAGTGGGTAATGTATTCCTGTCTCTTGTGTTTTCTTCTGTCAATCTCAGCACCCAGAAACCATAAGAGCAGCCAGTGAAACAGAAGAAAACTGGAGGGGAAAGATTTGCCAGAGAGTTTCCTGCTGGAATACATAGAAACATGTACTCAACAATGCTGACCAACAATATGCTCCGATTATTGGAAATTGGGTGGGGGTGGGGTTTCAGAAACTTATTAGAGGGAGAATATCCAGGTATATTAAACAGGGATCTTCATTCCCAGTCTTTGAAAGTTGCCAGACACTTTTTTTTTTGGCTATTAATAGGTAAGGACTTAACGTTTTGATCCCACATCAAAAGAAAGATGTCTTACTAACTGCATAGGCCAAAGAAGTTGACTTATATTAGTTGATAATTAGTGGTTCTTCTAAAGACTGTGCTATGAATATTATTTACTTCTGTTTGTCAAAATATGAAGGTGAAACCTGTACAGTGTGGCCCAGATTCTTTAGCAGCCTCAGGAAGCTTAGAATCCTTAAGAGGTTCGGTGCTTGAACTGAAAATAACAATCCAATTTGATATTTGAAAGCAGGCTGAAAGCTCATATCCATTACCTAAATGAACTATGAAATAAAGAACTGAAATATCCAATCTTGGAAATTTCAGGATTTAAAAAATAGAAAATGTACTGATGATTTAAGACTGCAATTAATTCATCAGGACATATTATTTTGTATTTGTTGGATTCCTGAAAGAATATTTAAAAAGAGATAATTTATATTTTGTGCTAGCATTGCATGAAATCTGAAGCTTAATTGATATAATTTGACCTTATCCAGATGTAGCTTTGTTTTGATTTCAAATTATAGCAAAACTTGGGGGGAAATATTAAGAGTTAAAGATATAAATATTGAACAATATTTGTAAAACATAGAAAGTGTCATTTCAAAACGTTTTGACTTAGCATAGGGCCTGGCAAAGAAGATAATCTTATGCAAATGAGGTAAACATCT